AGAATAGAAATGTTTATTGAACGTTTGCCTTTTCGGCATTATTCTGCATAATACCATTTCCATCGAATAACGGACCAATACCATTATTAAGAGTCTTTTTGTTCCTAATATTTAAAAAACTCCTTTTTACTGTTCTTAACTCCTGCTGGTCATAGATTTCTCATTGTGTCCCTTGGCTTATCAATTTTCTACAATTCCTGTCTTTTGATTTATGTTCATTTTTATCCATTTCCCTTTTCTTTCATTTGTTACATATTATTTTTTAATTTTGTTTTCTAGCTGTCTTCACTTCCACTCTAAACCCAGGTCAGTTTTCTAACCAGCACATCCTTCTTCCTCGATTGTGGCTTTTGGGGCATCTAATTCTTAAGCAGTTCCCCCCAGTGATCATTCCCATTCTCCTGATTAAATTCTTCCTCTCACCTGATTTGCCTCCTATTTGTTTCCATTGAAATTGGCCCTATTCAACCCCCAAAGATACGTTACTGGCCTGGACTTTATTCTGTTTGCGCCTTATAAATGTGATCAAGTCATGATCACTTGTACCTAAGCTACCATTAACGTTTACCATTCTCCTTGCCACTGGCTACCTGGCCCTGCTGCAGGAAACCGCGTTCTCTTCTTCCTCCCTGCATTCCCGAGCCTCTGCCTGCACCCAAGGGGTTAAATCTAAACAGGCCCAGGCAGGAAAAGCCCCCAATTGGACAGGCTGGAAGGGGGTGGGAGCTCTGGGCCCTAGCACTCCAGCTGGCATTGGTGTTCCCTGTCCCTGCCTGCGGCTGTTGGCAAAGGGGCCCTGCACCCCCAGGAATGGCTGTGTCTGCCGGGCCATCCCGCTGTCTTGTACCATCCCCAGGAGTGAGGTGTTCTCGTGGGGCCAGCTCCCTGGAGCGTGGCCCTCCCCGTTGGTGGGAGCCCCGCTGGCCTGGCCTGATGGCTCCTGTCTCTGCCTCCAGCTGCAGCACCAAGGCAAGAAGTTGCCCCTCAAAGTGATCGAGGGCAACTTCTATGGGGCTGTCCTGGCCAGCAGCCACCACTTCGACGTGCTGGACCTGCACTACTACTTCCGCTTCGACGTGCACCACCGCAGCGGGGATGGTGTCCACTGGAACCGGGCCGTCCACCGCAGGGTCACCCACCTGCTGCTGGCCCACGTGGCCGACGCCTGGGGCGTCGAGATCCCGGAGAAGAGACCCCAGGATGGTGAGTGGGAGGGGGGCTGACAGTGCCCAGATGCCATGGTGACGGGCATGCTGATGTGGATCGTCCCTCAGGGGGCGGCACTTGCTGCTGTTGGGAATGGGAGGGGGTGGGCGTGCGGTGGCGGGACGGGAGGAGGGAGTGGGGGTGGGCATGCTGGGGTGGGAGATGGCCACGCAGCTGATGGATCCGCTTTTCCTTTTCTTCAGGTTGCTTTCAGGCAAATGCTCTGGAGTGGGGCTTGCAGCCCGCCCCCTGCCCGATGCCCCACGCTGCTCCACCCGGCCCCTGGGGTAAAGATCTTGGTGGTGGTGGGCAGGGGCTGTGGGCACCTCCTC